TGCGGTGACTACACCACGCAAGCTGGATAAGATTAATCCTTCTTTGATTTTGATGGTGGCTTGGACCAGAGGTCCATGCCTTATTGAGCAAGCACTCAAGCCCTAGCGGGCGAGCACTTTGATGATTCAGATATGTTTTATATGATGCCTCTATATATCAGATAGCATACGAGGCCGCACAGCTCAAGCTGGCAGATGAAAAACAACGCAAGTATGACGCACAAGCGATGGCCGGGCGGCGCAGCCTGGTGGGCGACGGGCTGATCTGGTACGCGTGGCAACGGCGGTGGCGCAGGGTGAGGCGGCTGTGGCAGAACGGTGAGCTGGCGAGGGTGAGGCTGATCAGAAGAAGAAGGACGATATGGCAAAGAGTACGATCGAGAGGGCGGTTCGAAACGTGGAGGCAGACTGTCGTAGCGCTGCTCGTACTTATACTTATAGTACATCATTGATCTCGGCGACGGCGTGCGCTCGCGCCGGTCCTCTGAGCGATGGCGCAAGCGCGTTCCTCCCCATCTCTCCTCCTCCTCCTCTTCGGATCTCTCCCCCTCGTACGTTAGATCGATTGGCCGATCTGGCACCTTCCCCTCTCGGCCTCCTCTCCCACGTCCAGTGCCCGAGCCTCGCGTCTTTGGCGCCATGGCAAAGGTTAATTAACTGCGCGATGGTAAGCGCTACCGCAGCAAGAACGCAAGTGAGTATAGATCGATGAAAGCAGTGGCAGTCACGAGAGCGTAATAGCGCAGCACACTTAACGATGCGAGTTCTAGTGAGAATGGCGAAAGTAAGAAAGCTATTAGGCCCCTTATAGTAGAGGGATCTTGGCGGGGATGCCAAGAATGGGGTTTGGTATAGTTGTCGGACAGCGGTGCGCCGCGTCAACGTATAGTTGACTCGTCGCGGCCAGCCTCCGCACCATAGGACTGCATATGGTCACGATCAGTAGAATGTTGACACGCTGGTTTGGCCCTTGGGTCGAGTCAGCGGGCAAGACGGCACGATGGTCCAGCCCCGTGGAGATTGAATCACGACTTTTGGGCTGAACCGCCGTGTCTGCAAGAGCCAGATTAGTAGGGCCCGGTCTGAACGGTACTGAAAACAGACCAAGGGTTAGTAAGAATAATAGAACTGACCACTTGGGACCGGACTTACCACGTCGGGAAGAATGCGGCCTGAAATGGTTAAGGGGAATACAGGATTGGGGCCCTTATTATGATTAAAAGGGGTGTTTTGAATGTTAAAACAAGGCCGACCCTTAGTATTCCAAAGTCGGGCCAGCCCATGCCCGACACTAATTTTAGCATTGGTCCGTGCTATTTTTAGCGTTGGATGCGCTACTTTTGGTGCATGCCTGAGTTATTTTTAACGCAGGCTCGAGCTAAATATAGCGCAGGCCCACTCTATTTTTAGCATGGGGCTGACTGTTTGTGTCCCAAGGTCGGCGCTGTCCCAAGTCCCGCGCTATTTTTACCCAAGTCCCCCGCTATTTTTAGCACAGTCCCGCGCTATTTTTAGCGCAGTCCCGCGCTAATTTTAGCACAGGCCTGCGCTATATTTAGCGCAGGCCCATGCTATTTTTAGCACCGGGTTGACTGTTCGTGTTCTGAATTCGGGACTGTCCCAATCCGGTGGTATTTTTGGCGCAGTCCCGCGCTTATTTTAGCACAGACCCGCGCTATATTTACCGCAGGCCCGTGCTATTTTTAGCACGGGACTAACTGTTCGTGTCCCAAAGTCGGGACTGTCTCAGTCCCGCGCTAATTTTAGCGCAGGCCTGTGATAATTTTAGCACAAAGGACCATTTCGTCAAAATGGACATTTTTTATTTTTTGAACGAAATTGAAACCGAGTTTTTTGGCCGAAAACTCATCAAAATTTGTTGTTCCTGAGGGTCCAGCGTTTTACAAACGCCGGAATCATTAGAAACAACAAATTTTGACAAGTTTTGGGCCAAAAAACATGGTTTCGATTTCGTTCAAAAAAAAAAAGATGTCCATTTTGACGAAATGGCAGTTCACAGGCCTGTGCTATTTTTGGCCCAAGGACTACTGCACTTCGCCCGACAACGTGGCCTCTCTAGTATAAAAGAGAGGTTGTGCCACTCAAGAATGGACGGGAGGCCCTCATTTGAGGGAATGCGGAAGCACTGGCGGAACAACAAGCAGGAGTTGCAGCGTTGGAACAAGTAAGGGAAGGAGAAAGACAAGGCAAGCAAGAGAGAGGTAAAGGAGTGGAGCAGCTTGGGGAAGAGGTAGTCCTGGTTCTCACTAGGGTCATAGCCCTCTCCCTTGCCTCCCCTCCWATCTCTCTCTCCCTTTGCTCTTTTCTCTCCCTCTCTTCTTCCTCCCTCTCCTATCTCACTTCCGTCATCCCCCTTTTAGTCAGACCGGTCGCTTATGAATAAGCCCCGGTTTTTATTTTATTTTATTTTATTTTAATTTTATTTTCGGCGTGCACCATTACCTCACAAGGGTTACTGTATGCCTGTGCGCCACGCCAGAGAGCACAAGGGTTACTGCATGCCTATGCATCGTCAGAGAGCACAAGGTCACTGTACATCTGAGTGCACCGCACTAATGAGTATCTGTATATCTGAGCGCACCACGCTAATGAGTATTTGTATATCTGAGCGCACCGCACCAATGAGTATCAAGGTCACTGTACATCTGAGCGCACCGCGCCAATGAGTATTTGTATATCTGAGCGCACCGCGCCAATGAGTATCTGTATATCTGAGCGCACCGCGCCAATGAGTATCAAGGTCACTATACATCTGAGCACACCGTGCCGAAGATCATCGAGGACGCTGTATGTGTGAGCGCACTACGCAAGTCGATTTACTGTGCCTACAGGCACTTAAACCACAGGTCCCCCCGCCGCCGAAAACCCTCGGTACCGGTGAGTTAGGGGAGGGGTTTTTCGGAGGTCGTCTGCCCCTAACTCACCGATCTCGTGAAGTCCCTGGCAAGTGCACCAAGGCCCCACGGTGTACAGGGCGGACGACGGCGGGTTGCATCGAGC